TTGGGGATTAAAATTCTCCTATCCTCTCCCATCTTCCTACTCTCCTCTGACAAGTAAGAAAGGCCCAACTCCTGAATTGGCTGGCTGGTGTTCAGAATCAGGTTTCTGATTCCCCACCATGAGGAAGATATTGTCAAGAGAAACCACACACTGCAAACTTGAACTGAAGGGCCAGGTGGTATTATTCTTCGTGGCCCAGAGGATTCTGTTGACCTCCAGGTTCTATGACTTAAGACAGCTATGGACAGCTTCCAGACCCCACTTGCAAGTGGGCAGGGGAAAGCTTCTAATTCTGCTAGGCTGAGTCAGTCCTTGGTGCCCAGATGGGTTCGGCTGACAACACACAAGGCAGGTGATCTTTGTGGGAGGGGGGATGGGGCTGGGATAGGCTGAAATTGACAGCTGGGGGTTCTGGTTCACACAGGCAGAGGCCCCTTTTCTCAAGGACCATACAAGCTACACCATAACGTGCCAGGTTTTGTGTGTGTTTATTTCCCTTTTGTTATCCCTTAATTGTCAATAAATCATATTGAAAAATAGCATCGCTAATGCGGCTTATAGATATTAACCCAAACCTTCTTTACCCGTGGATGATTCTTGTTAGGCTCCCGCCTCCAAAGAACCCTAGAGATGGGGCTGCCAGCAGGGTCAGCTGACTGCACCTGCTCTTTAGTTATGAGGACGTGGGCTGTTGCTCACAACTGCAGGCTCTGCCATAGAAAAGTTGTCAGTCCCTCACCCCAGGCTTTGTTTCAGACACACCTCCTTTCCCCCCTGTTCTTAGACTCAACCAGGACACAACCATCACAATAAAAGACTGACTGTGTCACTGTAACTCCCTGCTTCCATGACCTTCAGCATATAACTGTGCCCGGACTCCATTTGGAAAATGAGGCGGAAGGGTTAGCTACTCAAACTAATGGAACAAAACCTCTGAGATTCTACGAGATTTAACTATTACTTTCTACAGGCATTGGATTCAGTGGCGCTCAATCAAACTATTTATTATAACTAACCATGATTATATAGGGTAAATTCTTCCTTTGTAACCATCTTAACGAAATCAGAAATATTTAACTGCAAGTATCAGCTCTGTTCTCTCCTTCTCACCACCCTCTCCCTCCCTCGTTTCTTCTTTCCCTTCTTCCTTTCTTTATTTCTAACTTTGAAATAAAGAAGTTAGTTAGAAGTTTGAGTCATCCACCTCCTTGCTAGGATAGATCGTTCCGGCATAGAATTAGAAATCTCTAGTCTAAATTATTCCTATTCATAATTTTTGTTTTTAAAACTCTTTGGATCCAAATACTTACATCACTTATATGTGGAATCTAAAGAATGAAACAAACTAGTGAAGATTACAAAAAAAGAAGCAGACCCACAGATATAAAGAACAAACCAGTGGTTACCAGTGGGAAAAGGGAAGGGGGGAGGCGTAATCTAGGGGTAACAGATGAAGAGGTACAAACTATTAGGTATAAAATAAGCTACATGGATATATTGTATAACACAGGGAATATAGCTCCTATTTTATAATAACTATAAATGGAGTAACACCTTTAAAACTGTGACTCACTACATTGTACACTTATAACTTACATAATATTGTACGTCAACCGTACTTCAATTAAAAAAACTCTTGGGATCTATCGATCATCTCTCTATGTATCATCATCTCTCTAGAGAAATATCTATGTTTTTAGAGTGTGATTAGAGATTAACATTTGTAATTAGATCTCTTTTCTAAATAACATTAATCTAAAACAACATTCAAAAAGCACAGTCTTACATTACCTGCCCGGAGTCATCTGAGATGCTAGCTACAAGTGCAGGAATCTGTATTTGCGCTGAGAATCAGTATTACTGACAAGACTGCTCCCCCGGTCCCTGTCAATCTTAAGCACATTGTATTTCTGGAGCCCTGCAGATGAAGAATTTGTAAACGGCAGCGCATCACGCAGGGGAAAGGACTATTTTGAAGTGGGAGTGAAGTGGTAGAGAGGTGTAAACGTGTCTGGGAGACACCTCAAATCCCTTGTGGATATTAAAATTATGAGTGAATAAAAATGGAAGGATATAAATAAGTGAATATGTAAAAACTATCTTTAAGTAGCTAGGTATCGGTTTATTTATTTTTCCTCTTAATAGGAATCGAATGCTTTATCCTATCCATTCTTCAAAGAGATTAAATCTCTTTCCCATTAAAACTTGCCAGCCTCTTAGAGCCCACAGAGCTGTCTGCCTTCTAGAGTAATAATGCTTTTTCGAATTTATCAGTATTTCTCAATGTTCCATAGAAAACAAATTCTTCAACTATCCCTGCCATCATAGAAAAAGATTGACATGTTTGTGAAAGTCCAGCATACACAAATTAGGGAAATAGTATGATTTATATATTCACTATTTAAGCTCCATAGCTTATTATAGATTATGATGAACCTTGCACTAATAAACTTTTTGCCTTTTTAAAATCAGGGTTTCTGAAACTTATTTGACCAAAGAGCCTTTTTCAAAAGCATAACATTTATCAACACTTCTCTCTCTCTTTTGTTTATATATTTTATGTTTGCTAATTAATCATTTGGAGCCTTGAACTATCACTTACCTTAATTATTGTTCATCCTTTTATGCACTTGTAACTAAATTATCTCCGATCAGTATATGTATGTCATGTATGATTGTGTGTTTGGTGTATTTTATTGAGTGACTTGTCCTTTTCACGCCTGTTAATATGGCTATCGCCAAGGGCAAGCATAGTTTTTTTGATGGGAGTGGATTTTGCTGGTGCCCGTTAGTTAGGCTGAGGCAGGTTCTGAGACAGAAAATGAAAACTGAGATGTCAGGCTTTAGGTGAATAGAGAGGGAACTCCATTCACTCTGGGTCTTGCTAACTTTTATGGGTTTTAAGTGATCATTATTATTTTGATGATGATAATACTTGCCATGTATTGTGCATTTAAGCTGGGCAGTGTGCTAAGTGGTTGTTATCTCTTCCAATTCCAAAAACAACCCAGTGAAGAAGGTATTCTTCATGCTATTGTCCAAAAGATAATACACATCTACCGGTTTAAGTCTGTGCGGGTACGGTAGCCAAACCGGGATTTGAACTCATCTATCTGACCTCAATGCTCATAATCATGCTCATTCTGTTCATTGTCTGCTGATTCTGAAAGGCCTTGAGGGTGCTCCCAAGGAGGTAAAGCTTGAGAGTGGCCCCTTCCAGATGAAGAGAGAGTAAGAGTAGCAGGGAGGAAACCCCCAAGCTGAAGGTAAATACGTATACATTCCCGGGCACATGATCTTGTGCCATGGTGTGCGCGTGTGTGTGTTTATTTTGTCTTTTGTTGTCCCTTAACTGCTACTTAACCACATTCAAATATGCAGGCTTTACTTCAGTTATTCTATGAGTAATTAAAGAAAAGATAAGACAGCCATAACCGGGCCATCGAGCTAAATGGAGAACGGTTTCTCCACTCAGAGTGCAGCAACTGTTTTGGTAGCCAGAGAAGAACATCAGGGGAGAAGATTGGTGTCGGCAAGAGTTGGCTGCTTTCGCGTCTATCAAGATGCTCTTGCTAACATCTAGAACTTATTTTTAGAAATTTAGCATTTTAAAAACACATCTTCTTTAACAAATATCTAGTAAACTACTTTAAGGAAGGGACACTTTTATTATCCCTGTAAAGGACCTATAATGCTTAGCATGGTAACTCATTCCAAGTAGGTGCTCAATAAATACCGGTTAATAAGTGAGAACGAACCTTTCTCCAAGTTTACAAGGGAGGGTGTTTGGGCACAAAGAAAAAAACTTTCCTCGGTACCTTGAGTGTTCTAGAGTGTACGTTGCAGATTAATAACGAGATATCACATCATTGTTTTTGAAGTATATTCATTTGCTTAAGGTATATAGACTAGTTGAGCTTCTAATTGCTCATCAGTTACTTGGCATCTAGCTTTTTATGTTGTATCACTTAGCAGCAGCCCACTCAACAGAATCGCATTTGGCCTTCAATTGCATGATGTTGTGAGACCCCAGATGGATATAATTTCAGGAAGGTGTTTGATCCAATTATTTTTGACCAGAGAAGAACATCCACAGAGCAATTATTTGTAGCTTCTATTATATCGAATGGCTTCTATTTAATTAAAATTGTGTCCCTCGTCTAGAAATTATTTTCTAAGAAATACTTTCTTTAATGCCATTTGCAGCAACAGGGGTGGACTTAGAGATTATCATGCTAAGTGAAGTAAGTTAGAAAGAGAAAGACAAATACCATATGATATCACTTATATATGGAATCTAAAATATGACACAAATGAACTTATCTACAAAACAGAAACAGACTCCCAGACATAGAGAACAGACTTGTGGTTGCCAAGGGGGAGGGGGGGAGGGGAGGGAAGGACTGGGAGTTTGGGATAAGCAGATGCAAACTAGTATATGTAGAATGAATAAACAACAAGGTCCTATTGTATAGCAGAGGGAAATATATTCAATATCTTGTGATAAACCATAATGGAAAAGAATATGAGAAAGAGTGTACATATATATATGTATAACTGAATCACTTTGATGTACAGCAGAAATAATGCAACATTGTAAGTTAACTACACTTCAATAAAATAAATTAAAAAAAACAAAAGCGCTATACAAAAAAAAAAAAAAAGAAAAAGAAAAAATTTCTTGCTAAATAAGATGGTTAGAGATACAGGAAAAGTAACTCTATCCAGTGACTGCTGCTGGATATTGAGGAGAAACATGTATTTCCATAAATTTCAAATAAAGTTTTCTTAGTTCCAATCTAATGTCAGCATCTACTGAGAAGTTACCAAGTTCTTATCAAGAAGTCAAGAATGAACAGCTTCAAGTTTAAGGTACACTTGGCTTAAGTCTCTGATGATGACTAAGACTGGAATCAGCCTGGCCCGGTGACTAAAAACAAGAAAAAGCGTAAACAAAACAAACGCCAAACACATGACTTAAAAAGATGCCTGAACTCTAGTCCCAGGTTTGCCACTGCCTTGCTTCGTGGTTCTGGGTCCTGGACATCACAAATCAAGAGGCTGAAACTTGCCCGTCTGACCTTTTTGTGACGACGAAAAGTTGAGGACCGATGTGGATCTGGGTGAGACTGTATTAAAGGTCAGTGCAGTAAAATAATCCTATTGAAAGAATCAGCAAGGGCCATTCAACCCAACAGGTAGATCACAGTGGGTGGGATCATGAGGGCTTTAGCCTCCCAGGAATTAGCGGAGTAGAGCTGGCACTTCTGCTCACTGGTGGGGGTGGAGGGTGGGGAGGTGGGTTGAGCAGTGTTAAGCTTCTCTTTTATCAGTGGAAGATTTTGAGGAGCGCTTTTTCCCAAGATTCTCCTAACTGCTGCCATACTGTTTTGGAAATGGCCCAGGATTTGCAGACTGACTATCATCCAGCAGTCTCAATTTTAATCACACTTTAAATTTTATATTACACATGAGAAGGCAGAATGAGGATTAAAACTGGTGTCAGTGTCACTGGACACATATTTTTACACATTAATTGGTGATTACTCTTCACTTTTTTGACCATAGCACTTGTCGTTTCATGATCCTTTCTCTATTCAAGCCACTAATCCATGGGACATTGAACAACAGAGAAAAAAAGAGTGAAAAGTTTGGCTTTTGGGATCTTCAAAAGTTAAGTTCAAAATATAAGGCAAAATTTGATAGAAGTTTTAATCACTCAGGGTTAGTTTTCCCAATTAGAGAGTCTAGATTGGAGGAGGTGTGTGGCCTGGGGGAGGTAAGAGCAGTAGAGCTTGGATTGTTCCCTAGAAACCCTCCTGCCTGTATTCTTTGGTCAGAGGCCTGGGATCTGGAAGAGGCTGGAAACCTGAGACAGAGCAGAGCCTGGTGCCACCTTCCCCGAGGAGGGCTTGGGAAACAGCATGGCTCGGGAGCCCAAGACATGTCATGAGTGGTGTCCAGGCAGGTGGACCTGCGTCAGCTCCCCAGGGTCCACACTCCCCAGCTGGTGTGAGGAAAGCAGACCACTTTCCCTTGATGCCCAGAGTGATGCAGACGTGCACAGAAAGCCAGCCGGCCTCGTGTAGGCTGATGTGAGTGTGAGGCAGATGCAGAAAAATGTGTGGACCAATAACCAAGATCCAAATCTCACCGGCCACTCACTTTCAGTGATGCTCCGGTACTTTGTCAGACCCCATCCCCCATTGCCCGTACAAACTTAGATGCAACCCTGGCAGAAGGTCATAATTGGATGGAAATTAAGTTTTGTCACCTGGGAGACTGTGAGCTTCATATGGAAAGCAATTTTGCTTACAGATTAATAAAAATGATGTACTTGTATGCCTGATTTTGTGGACCCAAATCAGTTTCCACAGGGCGACTGTATTAACATCCACCAGACTCCAGTGGCATTGGGTCTTTGTCGCTGTGCGCGGGCTTTCTCTAGTTGTGGTGAGTGGGGGCTACTCTTCATTGCGGTGCACGGGCTTCTTATTGCGGTGGCTTCTCTTGTTGTGGAGCATGGGCTCTAGGCGCATGGGCGTCAGTAGTTGTGGCTCACGGGCTCTAGAGCGCCAGGCTCAGTAGTTGTGGCACATGGGCTTAGTTGCTCCGCAGCATGTGGGATCTTTCCGGACCAGGGATCAAATCCGTGTCCCCTGCATTAGCAGGCGGATTCTTAACCACTGTGCCACCAGGGAAGTCCCTGTTGCCTTTTTCTAGGTGTGTTCAGCTCGATCCCATCTTTCCCTTTTTGATTTTCATTTCTGAATTCTGGTCAGCGGTGTTTTGAGAAGTAACTAACAGCTACTCTCTGTCTTACTTGGACAGTCTGGTTTGTATTAAATAACACAGGTCACTTAGAGATATACCTTATCATTACCTGAGGGTACTGAACTGCTTCTTTTACACATTAACTTCTATTATCTTTCAATTCAGGGGGAAAAGAACATATGCGGCAAAAGGACAAGTTTTAGAATTTTATGAATCGTCATTTTTGTGTCTAAAATCTACTCTTTTATGAGCACTGAGAGCAACTGCCTTCAAACAGTTTGTCTAGTCCGTTACCCTATATATGCTAAAACAACAGTTTCCTATTATTTTTGAAGGTTCCCCCCTGCCCACACCCCCAAATGGCAGACAGCTGTGGGGCTGCTTGCACTTGACAGAGAAACTAGATCTTATTCACAGGCCTCCACTCACCGACCGCGTGACTTTGCCGAAGACATTTCTCTTCCCTGCACCTCAGTTGCCTTACCTGTAAAATGAGTGTTCTAAGTAAGTGTCTTTTAGGTCTTTATTAATGCAGAGATGTCCTGGTTCCATGGGCGCTCATTCTCTGTGGGGTGGTAACCAAATCAACCTGAGATCAGTGACCGGGACAGAATTAGGTAAAGCACTAAACAATATACTTTTGTAAATTTGTGTAAATTAAGGATCATGTCTCTTTGTCACTGTTAGCATTGGTGATCCACAACTCTACATTTAGTGGATAAACAGTGTGATTTAGAAGATCTTTGTTACTAGGAGAAAATGGAGTCGTCTGTAGGTTATGGGGATGGGCGACTAATTCATAGGTTAGATACCCAATAAGGGATTATCCCTTTATCACCATGTTCAAACACTTCTTCCTCAGCCTCCTCAGTAACTGACAGCTCACTATGGGTTCTCCCAGAAGCAGGCCATGAGATGAGGATTTGGTACAAGCAGCTTATTTGCATGGGATCCCAGGAAGACTGTAGGAGAGTGGGGAAGTAACACAGAGGAGAAAGCTACCAGAAGGTACTCAGTGTTCCCTTCTGCTGGCAGTCTGGAAGACTGAGGAGAACCTGCCCTGGAGTTGCCCCCTCTGCTGGAGCGAGAGAACCGGGGTATTGACGCACTACATTTCTATCCTGTCCTGCTTACAAGCATGAACTCCTCAAAACGTCCAGCCCATGCCCTGGATAGGCCAGGCATGCTCCTGCGACCGGAGAAAGCCCTAGGGCAGAGTGTCACAGATGCTTGTGGTAGGTAGCAGGTGGTGTGTGTGGAGACGGGATTGGTGATGCCAAAGTGATTTGAGCAGGGCACCAAGAGCATCTGGTGCACTACCCTAATCCAAGCAAGAATACTCCCATTGTTCCAAGGATTCCCCTTCTAGCCTCTAATTCTTCGTACTCTCATTTATTTTATATTTATCTTCTAGAGCATATTTCCTTAGATATTGAAGGAAATATACTCTAGAAGATATTCTGCTGACTTTCCCCATCTCTGTGCAACCTCATTTTACGTTACTCCTCAGCTTTCCTTATATGATCAAGCCAATCCATACACATAATTTTGCCTTTCATTCTCTGCTAAGCTGTTCCTTCCACTTGGAATATGTTCATCAGTGGTTTACATTAATCTGTGTTCTTCCTAGTACACAGAATTTTTTTTATAGAGAACATAGCTAATGCTTAAAAAAAATTTTTTTTCAGATTGATTTACATACTATCTCAGGGCTTATCTCTTTCCAAAAGTCTTTTCTGCACTAAATCCTTTAGTCAATACCCACTCAGCCCTTGTATTCTACTCCTTCCCCTTTACCTATCCAACATTATTAATCTTTTTAGTGTAAAAAGCATTAATTCAAGGAAGCCTTTTCTGAGCTCCGTGATTAGATTCGATTTCCATATTGCCTGTTCCCAGATCATTCAATGCCTGTCTTTTGTAATTTGCAATTTCCGTTCACCACCAGCCTTCCAGGATACACTTCAAAGGCCATGAGGTCAGGTACCATGACTTTACTGCATTCCTAGAATCTGGCCCAGGGATTGGTGCATAGTAGGCATTGATTAAAATTTGCTGAATCATTGTATGAATAAACTATGCCATTTGGGGCTGATTCACATTTTAAAGAAGGATTGATTTTACTTCTTCTGGGTGTTTTTCTCATGAATTTACAAATCTATTAAAAATGAAGATTATTTCTCTTGTATCCCCTCTGGAGTGCTATATGCAATGTACTTCATACAGTAGGAGCTTCCAAATGTTTGTAAATAAATTAACTTGATGACTCCAAGGCCCCATACTGCATGCTTTGGTAAGAGATAACTTGGACCACCAGAGGCATGCTGCTCTCACCAGGTGAAGTACACCAATTCAACTAGGGTAAATTAATTGCAGGAGAGAGCCTAAGTAATAAAATCGGGTTTCAAATAGAAAAACAATGAAGAAATATATCCTGTGGTTAGGAGGATAATGAAGTTACTGAAAATAGACACATTCTAAATGTGTAGGGAATGCTTGGAAAGATAAAAAATATTGGGATATGTGTGCCAATTGGTCTTAAGACACACTAAGAAAAACAAATTAGTTTAAGGAGCAAAAGCAAGCACAAGATTTGCAGTCATTAATTCTGAAAAAAAAATAGGTGATGGGAGCAAAGCAAACTAAGTTAAAAAAATGCAAAACAAGTTAATCAGTTTAGATCAATATGCATTAAAATAACAGACACTTTTGAAAAGACCTAGTGTTTAACAGAATAATATCAATAATCACTGTACAAGGAAAATTACTCTGAAATGTGTTATGTTTACCTGGTAAAAATATACAATTAGAGAATAGAATATTACTGTCTTCACATCTATATATTTTACCTGTTTGTGGACTCAATTTCCTTAATATATATATGCACATATTTTCTAAACAGAGCCTAAAAATTTTTTTCAATCTCAAAATAAAAAGTACTTTGGCTTAAGCATTCAATTTCATTTGCCCCTACTAGTCAAACAAGATTGGGTAGAAGCCTGCTAGCTTTTTTTGAATGCTATCTGAAAGAAAAGATAATAAAGGAAGTGATAAAGGGGCAAAATATCATGTAAGAGACTATATATAAGTCTCCATCTTTAAATAACATGTAAAGGCTACATATTAACAAATATGTACATTTGTATTCTGGGCAATCAAGAGCCTTGAGTGGTATGGAATTTGTTTCCAGGAGTAGATTATTGTATCAGACCTCTGAAAAAAGAAGGAAATCTAGGATTTTTACCTGTCCTAACTGGGCTAAAATTAGTGAAAGTTCAGTCTCTGTCAGCGATAGAAAGGTGACAGATTATGGTAAGCAGTGGTGAAACAGTTCCTTTTCCTGCTGTCACTTGGAATCAAGTGCAC